GGATGTGGAAGGGGCGCGAGGGGAGGGGAGATATTGATGGTCTGATTGCACTTGTCTGTCTGTACCGAGGCGAGGGGCGCGTCGTGTCGCTCGAGAGAAGATTGCGGTGGACAGGACAGCTCGCCGTAGCCATGGCCCGTTTACCCACATATGACATATGACTGAACAAAATTTTAAAATAAAAACATTTATTTGCATCCACAACACGAAGTTTCAGGTAAATGTTTGGCATAGGGTCAGGGCGAGTAAAAATGAAACGCGGGGAAAAAAAGAGACACCCCTTTCCTCGACAAACATTATTAAAATGTTCTTGGTCCAAATAGGTGCTTAAATTTGATTGAAACGCAGGCGTTAACTCTAAATTTTCTGATTGTCGCAGCTTCTATTTAAGTATGTGTTGTCTCATTCTTCCCCGCGTCTCATTTTTACCCGCTCTGACCCTACACGGTATACAAATCGTGTCAAATTACGAGCGAAGTAAGCAAGAAAAACGTTTCACCAAGAAGCGGGAGCATAGAAGCGGTTTCTCCACTCTGCCCACCTCATCTTTCTTTTTCGCGCATCGGCAGGAATACGTGAAAAGAATGCGGAGCGAATGAATGGGCATTCATTCAACGCATCCCTCTTTTTTTTATCATTTTCCCTCTTACCTCTGAAAAAGAGGAAAACAGAGTAAAAAGGGAGAAGGAGAAAAAAAAAGAGATAGCAAGCGGGAAAAGAGAGAGGGAATACCAGACCGCTGCAGCGCGTAAACAACGAAGAGGCAAGCAAACGCGTGCGTGTGTGAAGGATTAGCGGAAAAACCTGCTCCTGCCCGCCGCGCCACCACCCCTTCCACACCTCCCCTCTGCGCCCCCTGCCCTCCCCTCTCGCAGCAGCCCTACCCCTCGATGCTGGTGTTGGTGGGCGGAGTATCTGAATGAGTTGGGAAGGGCGCACATAAAAATTTACACAGTGCTCCATCATCTTCGCGCGGACAATAGGTCTAACAACCACCATTCTACCGTAATGCGAACTACTATGCTACACCTCCCTTCCCC